TATCATCGCCTCCTCCTCTCTATATTTATTTCAGAGCCCCCTTCCCCTCCCCTATTTCTGAAGAAGGGTCCAGACCCGAAACATCACCTTTCTTGCTCCTTCGATGCTACTTGGCCTACTGTGTTCATCCAGCTCTACACCTTGTTATCTCAGACTCCAGCATCAGCAGTTCCTACTATCTCTGAGGTCAAGACATCATGTGTTTTCAAGAGGGAGGTAGATATAGCTTTTGTGGCTAAAAGAATCAAGGGATGTGGGGGGAAGGTGGGATTAGGGTATTGAGCTCGATGACTAGCCATGATCCCAATGAATGATAGAGCTGGCTCGAAGGGCTGAATGGTGTGTTCCTGCTCCTCTCTCTTATGTTTCTATGTAAATGTTCATGAGTTTGAAGCTGTACAGCCGAAGATTGCATCTCGTGAGTAATTAATTGATAATTCAAAAAAAAAAACAGCTGCACACCCACGTGTGAAGAGGTTCCTGTCCCAAGTTCTCAATGAGTATTGTCTCCCAGAGGCCCTCTTCCCTTCAGGTTGCAAGCACATATAAGATTGAGACAAAAAGATCACACATGCTCCAGTGAAAACCAGTAATACGTGCAAATTAATGCACTGGTCATACTGGACTTCCATTTTGTAGTATACAAGGCTAGTCAGAACAATATGTGTCATTCACCAGTTCCACTGGTCTTCCCCTTGGACAGGAGTCAGAATCTGAAACAGAGAGTTGACAATTCAAGTGTTTGCCTGCTTAGAATATTAGGATGGAAGAGGGTAGTTAGAAGGTTATTAAGTCGCACGAGATAATCCGCTAATGCGGGGGTGTGTAACAGTGTTTATTTTACATTATTATGCAAGGCCAGTTTTATTGATTTCTGTAGGTGAGTCTGATCAGCCTTGTATTCTGTGTGGTCTCTTGATGTGATGTAAACCATCACAAATGATTCGCCTTGGAGCATATTTTACTAACTTTTTCCACAGCCTGTCCTCAAAAAGCCTGGAGCCACATCATGTATGAAAGACACAGATATCCTATTTGAATCACAAAGGGTTACTACTGCTGTATCTCAAGGTTATCCAGTCATTTTACTGAATATTGAGCAGCACACTCCTTTACTGCAGTGACTATCACACCTCTTGCCTGAGACACTTTCTAAAGAAAATATAGCCATGGACCAGGACAATCCAATTCTGTAAAATACAAATCTATCTCCCGTTATCCGCACCAATCACTGTGATTATGAAGAAGGTGAAATGGAAACAATTTGTGCCAATCTGTCAGTAATTAACTCCTGGGGATGGTCAGCTCATTTCTCGAAGTACCTATAACTGGCAGACAGACTGGCTTTTTGTACTTGGGGATGAGTTCAAACCCAGGTCAGGAAGATGAAAGCTCAGCAGGCTAGCCCACTGTGCCACACATTCTCACTTTGTACTCTGACTGATGAATGAATTCTCTGCGCCCTGTCTGATGTGTGCGTTAATGAATCACCTTCCTTTGGCAGAGCAATGGCTAAAGCTGTGTATGCACCATTGATGTATTATACAGCAGGCTGACTAAATCCTCTATTCTCTGAGAGACTGCTACAGAACAATAAGTGCTGAAACTAAATCAGTGCAAGTTTCAAGTGTGTGAATGTATTAACACCTTCACATTCCAAATCAGAGGACAAATATGGAAATCAAACCTGTAACTGATGTAAATGTAATATGTAACAATGCCTATCACCAGTTTTAATTCTGTGTGGAATATTTTACATAATTTCTGTGGTGTTGCCCAGTTGTATGTTTTATTCAGTGTACTTTGTAATTCAATTATTGTCATGTTCTGTCTTCTTTGTCCTCTTTATTTCATTATCTCTCCATGTTCTCTTGCTCTGTTATGTATTTTCTCTCATGTTGTCCCTTTTGTTTTGTGCCTCTATCTTGTTCTTTCTTGTATTCTCATTCTCAACCATTTCTCGTAGTTCCATCATTTTTGTTTTCCTTCTCTCCTTATCTGTTTGTTCCACTGCCTTCAATATCTCTCAGTATGTCCTTAGTCTCTTCACTGGCAACCAGTACCTACTCTGAAGCCAAGTCCTAGTCGTATTCTCAAAACGTTGCCTTCAGTTTCCCATAATTTGTTGATCCAATTTCTCGGGGTTTGCAATATATTCTTCAGGTATCTGGCTCAATAGGTTGAACAGAACGTAGAGTGCATGGTAGGTCAGTGATTAGCACAGCTGCCTCACAGCACCAAGGACCCAGTTCAGTTGCACCCTGGGGTGATTGTCTGTGTGGAGTTTGCACATTCTCCCTGTGTCTGCGTGGGTTTCCTCCGGGTGCTCTGGTTTCTTCCCATAGTCCAAAGATGTGCAGTCTAGGTGGATTGGCCATGGGAAATGCAGGGATAGGGTAGGGGTGTGGGTCTGGATGGAATGCCCTTCGGAGGGTTGGTGTCAACTCAATAGGCTGAATGGTCTGCTTCCACACTGTAGGGATTCTATGGTTTAGAGAGGAGGAAGTCTGAGAGGAGAAGCAGACTCAGACATCTGAGCGACGTGATAGAAAAGTAAAGAAAGAAATAGTAAGTCGGGTAAAACAGAAATATAATTGATGTAGGAAAATAGCAGAAGAGCAAAACAGATCTACAAAGAAAAACGAGGCCAATAGATTGAGGAACAGAGGGTAAAAGGGGGCAAATGAGAAGAAGACAACTTAACGAGAGAGAGAGATACTTCACAGCACTTACTCTAACACTATGTAGGTGATAGTCATTATGGGATGGCTTTGGTCGAGGTTACTGAGTAACCAGCCCCATTGACTGGATGGAATAGCCTCATCCACCTCCTTTCTCGCTAATGATCTTAAACCTGCCAATAGCCCCTTGGTTCAGAATGCTGGAATTGATTGTACTGCACTTGTGATGCAAATGTTGTGCTTATTGTCTCGACTTTGGAATCAGAGATGGCCTTGACCCAGAGTGTAGAAAGTATGCCTTAGAAATCTGCAAAAATTGAACAGTCATCAAGCTGCTTCCTTTCAGTTGCAGTATAATGATAAGAGAAGCATCGATAACCTGTTAGGAAAAAAAGCCTGAGCACCTGTGTTGACACTATTTTTTGGTTGTATGCAATTTGTATTATGTAAGCCAGCAATCTGTTTAAAATGGTAATATTCAGCAAAATGAGTTTCAAGGGGTTGCTACATTTGACTATTGCAAAATTTTAGTCCCATTCAGTTATGCCGACAAATAACAGCAGAGCTTGTTGCAAGATTTACAGTAGATCAATCAGAACAGTTTAAGGGATGAATGGAGGCAGTCAGGGGAGAAAAGCATTACATATGGGGAGGCTTCTAATCAGGTACCAGGAGCAGGGAGAAAATGCTCAGTGTTGAAAAGGTAGCAGGGTCTGAGCTTTTAAAACTCAGAAAAAGTCCGGGTAGCATGGTGTTGCAATATGTGTTTTCTACAGCTGAGCAACCTTAAAACTCTGAGAACTACAAAGGCATTACAAGCTGGCTGAAGTTAGCTATCTGTGACAGGCTGAAATTATGCGAGCAACTGCCAGACTGTAGTTTCCAGAATTTAAAGTCCTGATTGGAGAGTGAACTACAGAATGCGAACCACCTTTTCTGAAGAAGGGTTGAGGCCCGAAACATCAGCTTTCCTGCTCCTCAGATGCTGCTTGGCCTGCTGTGTTCATCCAGCTCTACACCTTGTTACCCTTGAGGCCATTTGTGATGGAGAGCCTTGTGGGCGAATTCTGAATCTACGTCATTGAAAGAGAAAAAAAGTGAGAATCCGTTGTAAAGTTTGATGAGGTTTGATGATGCATAGTGCCACTGACATCTAGCATTTGGTGAGAAATCTGTGGGATCTGTCTTGACCATTTTGCGATTTGATATGCTCTCTGAGGTGTTCGGCCATAGTTTCTCTGTTAGCATATTTACCTTGGAAAAAATCTGGATGTTGGACATAAATTGTGTATACATTGTATCTCGCTCCGTAATTGTATAGTAAAATTGATTGCAGTTTGTTCAAAAACCTGGAAACCTGTTGTTTTATTCTCTTAGTGAGTGCCTAGGATCTCAAGCTTTGTCAATTTTTTTTTAAAATCAATGTTAGTGGTTCTGAGCCAGATCATGATATAAATTTGGCATCTGGACTGGGATTGTAACACACCACAGAGAGCAGTGAATTGTGTATTCTGTTTGACAATCTCCCCTTGCAGAATGTTATAGCATGCTGTGCCATGATAGCAGCAGTGTATACACTGCACAAGAAAGTCAATTGCATAATGTATATTCTGTGTCTTAAACCATCTTCCTTTCAGATGTTCAGGCCTCCATCGGTGCCAGTCTGAGGCAGATATCATTCAGCAGAGTGCACAGTGTCTTCAGTCCTACCTGACAGAGTTAGTTGAAGCCATTGTGAACTCGGTGGATCAGTGTCCTTCCTTGATCAGAGCCACCTTCAAACAGCTTTTCAAAAGTGTGGAGGAGAAATTCCCTCAGGATCTCTACAAGGTGTGTACAGTGGCCATTTCATTGAGTTCACTACCTTTCTCAAGGGTCTTATGTCTGATCATGTCTCTAGGTCTCCCTGTGCACTGGTGTGAAGAATCCTGAAATCTGAAATAAGATCCATAAAGTGCACAAGGTCCTATCCGCTTCTGAAAGGGAGAGGTAGCTCAGTGGTTCAGCTGTGATCTTTTATCTAAATTTGTCAATGCTGGATAATCTGCTGTGTAGTTGAGTTATATGATGTTTTCATTGAATGTACTATTAATTCCAGTGTCTTCTCAGACTCATCTCTGTGCCTGCATTAGAAGTTAAAGGCACTTTTTATTCATGTACCAGAGACACTTAATACTTTCGCACGTTCTCACAACTCTACAGAGAACACAGCCCCATCTATCTTGCAAGCCAACCTTTCATCCACTGACTCCATCTACGGGTAGTTCTCCTATAATGTGATAGTTGTGTTCTTGTGTGACATCACGCTATAGAAAATTGCGTTATAGGGAAATCGCTATACCTGTACAGCAGAAAGTTCACGTTATACAAACAGCATCTGCTATTCATCAATCGCGATCCAGCCAATTTGCATTAATGAAACACACGTTATAGCAGAGCTACCTGTACACTTCCCGCTGCCTTGGGAAAGCAACCAACATCATCGAAGACCCCTCCCATCCTGGTTTTAATTTCTTCCAATCTCTTCCATCGGGCAGAAGATACAAAAGCCCTAACATACATACCAACAGATTCAAGAACAGTTTCTTCCCCATTGTTATCAGACTTCTGAATGAACCTTTCAAATTTTAAATTTAAATGTTGATCTCGTTCTTTGTGCACCTTCTCTGATGCGTAACATTGTATTCCTCGCTCTGTTCTATTACCCTAATGTACTTTGTATGGTATGATCTGCCTGTACTGCACGCAAAACAAAACATTTCACTGTGCCTAGGTACATGTGACAATAATAAATCAAATTAAATCAAAGATAATAGAAAAATGTGAAGGGTGTACATTAGTGTCAAATATGTCCTGGAACAGGAACTCTAACCTGTGGGATTCAGATGCAAGTCCTCTTCTCTGAATTCCCAAAGTCCACAAGTGCCACCTTCTGAAAGCATTAAACATGGGCAGAGGCAGAGAGAATGGGAACATCAGAGAGATAATGCTTGAGCTGGTAGGGATATGTTTTGTGGTGGGAATTTGTAAAGAGTTGGGATGGCTCATTTACTCAATCCTTCGCCCACATGAGGAATAGCAATGAAAACAGCATGGCGGGAAAATCTAGATAATATATTGTCAAAACAAAATGGTCAATAAGTCGCCTTGTTTTTGAATTTGAATGAATAAAGTATTCTGTCTCTTCTGAGTAAGTCCATCCAGAAGCTAGATATTGCCCCAATTCTTCTACCCATCACTCCTCAGAGAGCAGGAGGAGGCTGGGCCAGAGATACACCTCCGAAATGTTTTACACGTCAGTAGGACATTCTTTACCTTTCATTAACATAATTACACAGCTCAGTAAAGTTGGCTCAGATATCAATGTTCAAATGATCACTTGGAATTGTAAAGATCCCCACTTTGAGTGAAAAGGCAGGTAGTTAACAGCCAGGTGGAGCTCCACAACAGGGTTAGATACTGATAAGTGCATTTTTGACTCTTTACCATGGATTATGTACTGGTAGGAACTAAGTTTAATTTCACATGGAAAAGCAACTCAGACTGACTTAGAAAAAGGACTCAAATAAGAGGGGAGCTTGACGGTGTTGTTAATCTTGAGTCTTCCCCAAGCCTGGCTTTGCTGGATAGGGCTGGGGGACATATCCAACAGGTTCCAGATGGCCTCAGCAGAGGCTTCCAATAATTGGATCTTGGGTTTTCACCCAGTGGCTATGAATTGATGGAATTGAAAACATATCTGCATAAAAATATGAGTGTGAGACCAATGGGGAGGCAGTTAGCTAGCTGACTAGGGTGTGATGCAGAATAAAGCCAGTCCCTGAAGTGACTGTGGTAGTTCATGGATGCCCTGCTTCAATACCTTACCACACACATGTGGTTAAGTTACTCTCGAGCTATTCTTAAACCCATCACAAATCGTTCTCCCTCTCGCTCTCTACCTAATGGAGAGGGATGCCTTTGGTTCTTCATTTTTTCAATTTCATTTATTATGGTCATATGTACCTAGGTACAGTGAAAAGTTCTATTTTGCATGCAGTACAGGCAGAGCATACCATACAAGGTACATTAGGATAATAGAACAAAGCAAAGAATACAATGTTGTAGCCGCATAGAAGATGCACAAAGAGCGAGGTCAACATTAAATTTAAAATTTGAGAGGTCTATTCAAAAGCCTAATAACAGCAGGAAAGAAGCTGTTCTTGAATCTCTCGGTCCGTGTGTTTAAGCTTTTGTATCTCCTGCCCGACAGAAGAGGTTGGAAGAGATTGTAACCGGGGTGGGAGGGGTCTTTGTTGGCTGCCTTTCCGAGGCGGTGGGAAGTATAGATTGAGTCAATGGATAGAAGGTTAGCTCACATGATGGATAGGGCTGTGTTCACAACTCTCTCTCATTTCTCATGGTCTTGGACAGAGCAGTTGCCATTACCAAACTATGATGCATCCAGACAGAATGCTTTCTATGGTGCATCTATAAAAATTGGTGAGAGTCTTTACAAACATCCTGAATTTCCTTAGCCTCCTGAGGAAATAGTGATGTTATTGTGGCCCTTTCTGATACCAATGGCTCGTCCACTTCAGGAGCCATTCTGTGCCACAAACACTGAGGGCATCCCTCACCAAACCGATACTAATTGCTGGGTTTTTTTCTGAATTGTCAGAGGAATTATAGTTTGAGCACATCTTTTCCCTTCATTTCTTTCTCCAGTGTAACTAAAGTGCCCGATTCTGATTAAACCAATACCACCAACAAAATTTTGCACATTTTTCACTGTGTCTGGTTTCTGCACTGCTGTGTGTTTTGCAATATATTCTGCTCTAATTTCAGAATTTCAACATTTCTGGATCTTTTTTAAAAACGCTATGCAACCAGTCGTGATCTAGATTGCACGGCCTGTAAGGGGGCTGAGAGAGGGGAGAGGCTTCATTCATAGCTGTCAAATTGGATATATAATCAAAACAGGGATTGTAGGCCAATGGGGAAAGAGGACGAGAGGGAACACCTTGGAAAGTTTGTTCAAAGGGCAGGTGGAGACCTAGAGATGTTGCCCTCTGATTAATCATGCTGTTACTTTCTGCACAGAATATCAAGTACATCGCAGTAACCAGCTTTCTGTGTTTGCGGTTCTTCTCACCTGCCATCATGTCTCCCAAACTCTTCTACCTACGCCCGAAACATGCAGATGCACGGACCAGCAGAACTTTATTGCTTCTGGCCAAGGTGAGCTCTCCTGTGACTGGGTGGTTTGACATTATCTCGCGTGAAATTTTAATGCAGTATAGTCCTCCAAGGTGTGCCCTATGAGTGTAATCAGAGAAAAGAAAATTTAGGACTTTAGGACAGGGGAGGAGTGTATGATAGGAGTGTTAGATCTTAGAGCCTAGGCAACTAAAGACCAATGGTAGGTGAGTTAAAATCGAAGATGTAGAAGATGCCGGAATTGGGTGTGTGACAATATCTCACAGATTTGTAGGCCTGGCAGGGATTACAGAAATAAAGAGGAACAGGATGCTGAAGGGTTTTGAAAATAAGGAGGAACATTTTTAGCCTGAGATTTTCAGGCACCAGGAGCTAATGTAGTTCAGAGAACACAGGCTAATCAGGGAACAGAACTTGTCGTGATAAGTCATTAAAAAAGTTTGGTAACCAGAGGTTGTGGGTTTAAAGTAATTGCCAAAAGGACCAGTCGGACGATAAGGAGGTATCAGTTCTACAGAAAGCTGTGTGATCAGAAAGCAAGGGACAGTGGAGTCAGCTTCAATAGTAACTTACAAAAAGAAATTGGTAAATGCCTGAAGAGGAGAAGTATGCATTTTTATGTGAAAAGAGAGTGAATGGAACTAATCAAACAGGTCTTTTAAACAGACCTGGCAAAGACACAATGGGCTGAATGGTCTCCTTCTCCACAGTGTGACTCTTTGATTCTACATGAAGTCCATCATCAGAAAATATGTGACTCTCCAAAGATAAACCTCCTGTAAAATAAGAGTGGGATAGACAATAGAAACACAAACATCCTATAATAGCATCAAAACATACATCATCAGAAAACATTTACAGACTCAGAATTGATTGGCTCAGTGAGTAATTGTAGAATAAAGATGATTCTACAATAAGTGTTTACGTTTAAATTAAATATGATGTGCAACATGATCATGCAGACATTAAACAGACAAAGGGTAATGAACTATTAAAAGGTTAAATGGATTTAATTGAATCAGTCAAAAAAATGAACATAATTAGTGCATCCTGTTCCAAGAGTACAGAATACCAAAGTACAACTTGATGAAGAAGAAAAGATTGTATATTATTATGAGATCATAAGGAAACATCGACCCAAATACAGCAACAAAACACTGTAGCTTTGTTGACAGGAAAGATTTATCCCTCTACCAGCATGACTGAAAACCAGTAATCAGGTTTTTGCCTCATTACTGTTTATGGGATCTTGCTGTGCTCAAATTTGCTGTAGTTTTCTATAACACAAGGATAACTACATTTCAAACAGTACTTCATTGGTGGTGAAGGGCAATGGGAAGTCCTGAGACGTTGAAAACTGCTCTACCAGGAGACGTCTTCATTCATTTTAACAATGAATGGTGTACAGAACAGATGTTAAGGCTTTCTGTCTTGCAGGCAATCCAAAGCATTGGCAACATGGATACCAATTTAGCTCGGGAGAAGGAAATTTGGATGGCACCACTGCAGCCCCTTATTCTCCAAGGAGTCACACTGTTTAAGGATTTCATCGTCAAGCTAATTGACTTTGAGGAGGAAGAAGGTGAATATTTTCAGAGTTCTGTGGAAACACAGTTCACTAAAACAATTCATTCATCAGTCCTCAGGTACTAGAGTTGAACATACCTGGTTCTGGTATCTATAGATTCGTTACATCATGTGCATCATTTGGATATGGGCCATACTTTCACTCTCCTGCCTATTCAACAAGAAATGGCATCCAATTAATTTTCTATTCAAAAGGAAGCATTCAAACTAAATCACAACTTCAGTTATCACACAGTAGAATAATGTGATCACTAGGCTTGCTCTGAATCTTAGCAACCTACCGTGGTAACAACTCATCCTACTGCCCCTCAGCCTCATTGTTGAGCCACATGTTGGCAGCAGGAACAACCCAAACTAAAGATTGCATCTTAAGGTGCTAATTTGCTGAGAGAGAAAATTCACAAATCACATTCCTGATATATTTGTCCAGAGATATTTGGGCAGCACGGTGGCACAGTGGTTAGCACCGCTGCCTCACAGTGCCAGGGACCTGGGTTTGATTTCAGCCTTGGGCAACTGTCTGTGTGGAGTTTGCTCATTTTCCTTGTGTCTGAGATAACAAGGTGTAGAGCTGGATGAACACAGCAGGCCAAGCAGCATCAGAGGAGCAGGAAAGCTGACGTTTTGGGTCTAGGCCCTTCTTCAGAAATGGGGGAGGGGAACGGGGTTCTGAAATAAATAGGGAGAAGGGGGAGGCGGATAGAAGATGGATAAAGGAGAAGATAGGTGGAGAGGAGACAGGCAGGTCAAAGAGGCGGGGGTGGAGCCAGTAAAGGTGAGTGTAGGTGGGGAGTTAGGGAGGGAATAGGTCAGTCCAGCGAGGACGGACAGGTCAAGCGGGTGGGGTGAGGCTGGTAGGTAGGAGATGGGGGTGTGGCTTGAGGTGGGAGGAGGGGATAGGTGGGAGGAAGGACAAGTTAGGGAGGCGGGGACAAGCTGGGTTGGTATTGGGATGCAGTCAGGGGAGGGGAGATGTTGAAGCTTGTGAAGTCCACATTGATATCATTGGGCTGCAGGGTTCCCAAGTGAAATATGAGGTGCTGTTCCTGCAACCTTCGGGTGGCATCGTTGTGGCACTGCAGGAGGCCCAGGAAGGTCATGTCATCCAAGGAATGGGAGGGGGAGTTGAAATGGTTCGCGACTGGGAGGTGCAGTTGTTTGTTGCGAACCGAGCGTAGGTGTTCCACAAAGTGATCCCCAAGCCTCCGCTTGGTTTCCCCGATGTAGAGGAGGCCACAATGGGAACAGCGGATGCAGTATACCACATTAGCAGATGTGCAGGTGAACATCTGTTTGATGTGGAAGGTCTTCTTGGGGCCTGGGATGGGGGTGAGGAAGGAGGTATGGGGGCAGGTGTAGCACTTCCTGCGGTTGCAGGGAAAAGTGCCGGCGTTGGTGGGGAGTGTGGAGTGGACGAGGGAGTCACGGAGAGAGTGATCCCTCTGGAAAGCAGATAAGGGTGGGGAGGGAAAAATGTCTTTGGTGGTGGGGTCAGATTGCAGATGGCGGAAGTGCCGGAGGATGATGCGTTGGATCCGGAGGTTGGTGGGGTGGTACGTGAGGACGAGGGGGATTCTTTTTTGGTTGTTATTGTGGGGAGGGGGTGTGAGGGATGAGTTGCGGGAAATGCGGGAGATGAGGTCGAGGGCGTTTTCGACCACTGTGGGGGTGAAGTTGAAAAACGAGGAGGGTTGGTGTGAACTCACTGGGCTGAATTATCTGCTTCCACACTGTAGGAATGCTATGTTCCACTTTCTTGGAAGTACAAAACCATTTTAAAACTGACCACATGGATGGGTCGGTGATGGTGAAGGGTATTCCTTCTGCCCACTCTTGTAGTTCCTGCTGTCATGAGAGGTACAGAGGATGACAAATAGTTCACTGTGTGATCTCCTCTTCAATACAAGACTTGTGGGATCTAACCAATTAATGGCTGATTAATCTTTGTTAGCATTCCACAGCCTTTGATACAGACGATGATGAACGGGCCGTACAAGGCTGTGTGCATTGTTTGGAACTCTGAAATGGAACTCTGTCTGTTGTGGCTGGTTCCTGGCAGTAGATCAATTCGAACAGAACTTAAAATACCAGGTCGATCAAAGGAAAAAGCCTAGCAAGAAAATGGACAAGACGGATACTCAAACAAACAGAAGTGAATTATTGATAATTGTGAATTTTAACATCGGCAGTTTTTCAGTTCTGAGTTTTCGCATCACTTATCCAATATCTGAATTAATGAGCAGAAATTTCCTTCAATTAAATATTGAGAAGACAGAAACTATTTTCCTCAGTCCCCACACAATCACTGCTGTATAGACCCATATCTGTAGCTTCAGTCTCAAGCCTGAAATGGATTTTTCCCAACTATGGAGTCCTATTTGTGACCTTCTGGCTGCATGTCTGCTCTTTGGGTTTGTCCACCTACTTCAATTTCTAATGACATCGCCTGCTCCCGTCCCAAATCATCCAGGTTTTTCTTGGACTCTGCACTCAGTCACCCATCACCCCTATACTTGTTGACCTACATTGGCTGCAGCTTAAACAATGCCTATATTTGAAAATAAATATATTTATTTTTAAATCTCTCCATGGCCTCAAACCCCTCCCTATCCCTGTAACCTCCTGCAGCCCCACAACCCTCTGAGATCTCTGAACTCCTCCTGCTCTGGCTTTTCAAGCATCCCTGATTTCCATCAACTCACCGTCGTGGCCATGTTGCTCGGGGCATCTGGATTTCCTTTCAGTGAACTTTCTCTGCCTCTCTCTATCCCTCCTCCTCCATGGTACTCCTTAAAACCCACTTTGTGGACCTTTTTGTCATCAGTCCTAATATGTGGCTTTGTCACATTTTGTTTGTTGGCGCTTTTGTGAAGGATCATATGGTCTTTTACCACAATTAGGTGCTGTAGAAATGTAAATTGTTGTTGTAACTGGAATCCTACAGCGAGCTGAAAAGTTGCAAAGTCCTCATGAGGGTCTTGGTCTGTCAGGATTCACTGACACTTCTTCAAATTGTTAACTTCTAAAGGCTTTAGCTCCTGGGCAGAAAGCTCCATGGGTGTAGGGTTCCTCCTTCAGTGACTGTTTTTCACTTCTGAGTCTAGTCAGTGATCATCGCTGACTATTCAGGCATGGAGTGCATCACATCTTGGTACAAACACATTCTGAGTAAAGGGTTCTGAGTGGCAATCAATGAGATGGTGGGGTCTGGCCTTCCTATTCTAAAGGCAACTGAGGCCAATTATAGCCTGACTACTGACAATCCATGGCTGGGATCAGAGTGTGGCAGTCAGACCTACCATATCAGACAAGAGGACTCCTTTACCCATTCGCCTTCCATGTTTGGCTTGGATTTTACACCAGGTCAACAGAACATTGTGAAAGTACATGTTCCCGCAGCTTTGTAAAGAAGTGCCAACAGACCGCTGCTCCCTCTTCTACGGTGACCACAGCCAACATGCCAATAGATACTGCAAGACTACATACCCTACCTCACTGACTGCCTGCTGCTTGTAACCCTGATTCCTCTTCATTCTTGGTGTCAGGAGCAATGCAAGTAGGGCTGGTGAAGCTACAACAGCAATGGAACCAGGTGGCTCATGCCTAATGAGGATTTCTGGCCAAAGCTGTTTGTAAAATGTGTCAGCCTATTTGAAGCATGCCCTGCAAGTTGTGGTGCTGGTTCGTGCAAGTGGAAACTTCCATGGATGGAGAGGGGGAAAGGAGGTGTTGGAGGGGCTGGGAGGAAAATCAAGCTTTACCAACTGGTCTTGGTTGCACAGCTCCAATCTGCTGCCAGTATGGCGCTATTACATTGGGTTTGGAGGTTGGTGTTCGAGATTATGGTACAATTGCTGGGGATGGGGAGCTAGACTATCTGGTCTGTGCACTCCCCCTCTGTCTCTCGGTACAGGGTTAAACAACAGCACTGGCAGAAGCTGGTGCGAGGCCATCCATCTGTCCTATTAGTTCAGTGGGTCCACAGTGAAGAGGATAAAGGGTGGAATAAAGTGAGAGCACAAGCTGATGGACAGAGAGTGATGGAAAATCACCTTTCGGTACTTCCTTCTTTTCAGAGTTGGAATCCCAGAAGCGAGTGACACTGCAGACAACATCCATCATTAAAGAAGGATATCTATTGATGCACCGAGCCAAAGAGCGGGGGATCCTAACATCATCACATTTCAAAAAGCATTACTTTTGCTTAAACCATGAGGCACTGTGTCATTCCAAAATGTCTAATGCTAAGGTACGTGATTATTCTTCAATACTTCTAATATTGTAACTAACTGTGGGAGTGGCAGTATCTTAGATGATGAGAGTGAGATGTTGGCTTTATTCTACATGTTAAAATTCTAGAAATAGCAGTGGTGAGGATGTACCTCTGTAGCAAATGGCCTGGAGTAGTTCAAGAAGACAGCTCACCAACATTTTCCCAAGGGCAGTTAGGATGGACCATAAATTCTGGTCTAGCCAGGCATCGTACAAAATATCGAATAGAAGGAAAATTGGTATCAGAGAATCAAAGTTCAATTATTGATGTCTTTGAATGAAGTTGTCATTTCAAGTCTTGAAGCTCTGCAGGTTTGCAGTTCTGAATTGTCATAGTACCTATTTGGCATTCTGATTGGATGAGCAGAAATTTCCTCCATTTGAGTATGGAGAAGAACAAAACCATTTTCTTTGCAAATGAGTTTGGAAAGACAGCAGGTTCCATGACCCATTCCCTATTGGATGATAGCAGGTGCCATGGCCCATTCCCTATTGGACGATAGTAGGTTCCATGGCCCATTCCCTATTGGATGATAGCAGGTTCCATGACCACTCCTTGTTGGACGATAGCAGGTTCCATGGCCCATTCCCTATTGGACGATAGCAGGTTCCATGGCCCATTCCCTATTGGATGATAGCAGGTTCCATGGTCCATTCCTTATTGGACGATAGCAGGTTCCATGGCCCCGACCCTATTGGACGATAGCAAGTTCCATGACCACTCCTTGTTGGATGATAGCAGGTTCCATGACCCATTCCCAATTGGATGCTAGCAGGCTCCATGACCCACTCCCTATTGGATGATAGCAGGTTCGATGGCCACTCCCTATTGGATGATAGCAGGCTCCATGACCCAATCCCTATTGGACGCTAGCAGGTTCCATGACCCACGCCCTATTGGATGATAGCAGGTTTCATGACCCACTCCCTATTGGATGATAGCAGTTTGATGGCTGCTCCCTATTGGATGGTAGCAGGTTCGATGGCCACTTCCTATTGGATGATAGCAGGTTCCATGACCCACTCCCTATTGGATATCTACTTCCCATAAGCCCCTACCTAAGTTGATCCTGTATAGATTTGCTGTTGAAGGGCTTTCCTCAATTTGATGGAATAAACCTCAGCCTCAGCTCAGTCATGGTGATATTGTTTGATCTGTTTCGTAGAACAGTGCCTGCATTCCGCTATCCAAGATCAGAGCAATTGAGAAAGTTGATGAGAAGTGTTTCGGAAGCTCATATGTCATGCAGATCATTTCGACTGATGGCAGGGGACAATTTGAAATCATGTATTTGCAGTGTAAGGTATGTGAACCTTGACCTATACCCTAAGCAAATAACTCTTCCTGCAGTGAAATGGTGCTTGTCCCTCACCTTTTGCCGATGAAAGTTTCATCTGTTTTTATAAAATCTTTTCTCTAATGATACATAACATTTCATCAAGCAGCTGACTCAAACATTTGAAAGATTTGCTGCCACGCTGTCATTATGAGGATAACTCATGAACCTAAAGATAGGATGACCGCACATCTGGGTTTCTCAGGTACAGACCGGACTTACATGAAACATCCCCATGGTCCTACCGTTTCCTCAAAGGAGTTCAAATGTCACAGATTCTACGTTTCTGTTTTTTGGTCCCATATAATCTGGGTCTGAGGGAGGCAAAGTTGTGAGGCATGGTGTCTGTCCTCCTTCCAGTATGCACCAATCCCATAGCTTTGCAACTGTATCCTCTTCCTTTGACCTCTCCAAGGGAGTTGCTTCCATCCTTCTATTGCTGATGACACCTTTTAAATGATCTAAGGAATAGGGTTGCCAGTTCTAGCTGGACACAATTGGGGGATATCATCACATGACCTTCAAATGCTCCTCCCTCAGACTCCTGCCTTTGGTTGTCCTACATGTCACTCATTGTGGGGCATTGTGTTACCATGGCCTTCCAATGACAAATCTGCTCATCCTCCCTGTTCACCAAACCAGCCTGAAACATGTCAAAATGTCACAAAGTGTTTCACAGAAGGGGCGAAAGGAATTCGGGAAAAGAACAAAAGGGGAGGTCTGTGATAGGGTGGAGGGCAGAACATTAAATGGGAAAAGGGTACATGGTACACGGAAATAAATAAAGACCAAAAGATTTGTCAAGGGCAGGTGTGAATGGCAGGATTTTAAATCGCTGACGCTAAAATGAAAAAGAAATGAGAGAAACAAGTGTAAAGGAGCAGCAGTGAAAAATGAAACAAAACAAGGGCCGAGCCTATGATCTGAAATGGATGAACTCAGTGTTGAGAGCAGAAAGCTGTGAAGTTCCCAGTCAAAAGACTTCCGACCAATTCGGTCTTTATCTCGGAACAAAAACAGAACTTGCTGGAAAAGCTCAGCAGGTCTGGCAGCATCTGTGAAGGGAAAAACAGAGTTAATGTTTCGGGTCCGGTGACCCTTCCTCAGAACTTTATCTCCTTGTATTTACTTTTATCGGAACTCAAATGAGCAAAAAAATGAACAGATATTACAGAAAAACAAACCTCACTCCAAGGAGCTGACATCTACAAGACCAGCTCAAACATGTGAAAACATGTAAGACACTGCTTCCCGGTGTGAAGCATAAGAAAAAAAAGATGATACGCCTTTGTTTCTGTTAAACTGAGAAAAATAACAGAACCATTTTAACTTTGCCCAGGTTGTGCCAGGCTGCCAGAGTTAAAATAGGCAAGTGCATTTATCCTTCAAGCTCCCACACACCCCTCCCTCACATGTTTGGCCTACTCTCCTGGGTCCTTCCATGTGTATTTCGATTGAACTGAGCTGAAGGCATTAGACTGTGTTTGTAACGAGACATGGAGCAGCTGTTGGAAAAAAGAGGCAGGATCAGGAGATGTGTGTTTCTGTAATTTAATTTCCTTCTAGATCAGGTATTCTCCATCAGAACCCCTCAGTGAATAATTGGGCCCGACCTGCCACAGAATCCCTTGAGTTTTCTGAACCATCACCCTCCCCTGGCAGTTGAGGTGTCAAGCTTGTATTGTAGTTCTATACCTTTTTAAGACAGTTACATAACATCACAACATGTGGTATTCTGACATAAAGGTAGTCACCTCCCCAGAGTGTGAGAGAGAGAGTGTGCGTGTGTGTATGCGTGTGAGTGTGAGTGCCTTGCAAACAATTAGTGCTATAAATAACTTCAAAGTATTTGAAGCAGCAGAACTTAACTATCTGTGGTATATGTTACATGGGCTAACATACATAATGAATGATAAATGGCTTCAAAATTGAAGCTCCATCTCTCCTCTAAGATGGAGATAAAAGATCCTTTGGCAGTGTTCTGTAGAAGAGGATGGGAGTAATCAACACCTTGGCCAATATTTATGCCTTAAACAATGTCTTCAAAAGACCTTTTTTTGGTTGTTGGCTCATTGCTGTTTGTGAGAGCTTGCTTCACATGAATCGGCCGTTGGATTTCCTACATTAAAACACTGAGTAGACTTTTAAAAAGTATATCATTGGTTGTAACGCACTTTGAAGTAGGGAAAAATGCCCCAGAGATGGAAATGTTCCTTCCCTGAATCCGGACTCCTACTCCTGCTGGTACAAGTCAGTGAGAACTGGCAACGCATTGGGTTCATATGGATGAAGCCCTGGACTCGAATCAAATGGACCTCATTCCCCAGTCACATCATTTCTGCTCCCATTTAAAATTAGGTCTGTCGAACGTTTGAGAGCCTGAGGGGGAAAACTAAGTAATGAGAATTCTAGAGAAGTGTGAAGACAAGCCACCCCTTGAAAATGTTGATTTTTTTTTGCCCCCAATTATCATTAATAACATTCATGTCTATGTCAAGGTCTTTGTTCATTAATAGATGTTCATTCTTATAAAAAGTAAATCACATTTGGATTCTGGACCATCCACCTGAACACTTACTCCCTAAACTCCATCCCAGTGGTGACCTACTTCATGCTGACACTTTACGCATCACACTATACGTCTCATCCTTCACACTCTGCCGTGCTCCATTTCATCCTGGAACTCCTGCCTCTCTCCATTCATTCACAATGTTCTTCATTCCCTCCAATTCACTCAGCAAGTATCATCATCCTCCTCCAGTTCAGTTCAAACGCATCTACTCCTTCCCATTTTGAGGATGTCCCTCTTCCCTCTGGCCTGATCATGTGCTAAGACCATCCATTATTAATCAGACTGTCCACATCTCTCAGGTTTGGAATGAAATTGCTTAAATTTGAATTGAATGTATGAATGAGAGCTGTATGTATATGATGTGTGATAACAAGGTGTAGAGCTAGATGAACACAGCAGGCCAAGCAGCATCAGAGGAGCAGGAAGGCTGACGTTTCAGGCCTAGACCCTTCTTCAGAAAATTTTTCTGAAGAAGGGTCT